ACAGCTAAGCATATAATTCACGTTTTATTAACGAGTTTACTAACTGGGCTCTTTTGTAACGAAAATTGAATGAAAGTTGACGCAAGATGGTATTTAAATAAGGAGTGACACTTAGCGTCCCACATTTTAACTTTCAAGAACCTATTTCTAAGTTTACTCCTTTAAAAAGTTTTAACATATACAAATGTTCTTATTTACTTCTAAAAATATTCTTTTATTTATAATTTTAATGCTTTTTGTTTTAAATATAATGTTCAGAGATAAAATCCATTCAAATGTGTTTTTACTTCCAAGGTCGTTTGAATAATAATTAAGAAATTTGAATGCATCAAACTAACTTATAAATTTTAGAGAAGACTAGAAGAAGAAAAAAGTAAAGAAAAACCAACAAAGCATATAAATTTTATCTCCAGTGTACTTACATGATCTGGATCAAACTATTTTAGTTGTGTAAATTTTGTCTTTATTGTTTGAAAATAAAATTAGAGTTTATGATCAAAGAGAAAATAAAATTTGTAAATACATATAACTCTATGTCGTATTTTGTAATTGTAATAAAGGATAAAATTGTAATAAGATATATAATAATAATTGGGGTATAAAGAGATAAGATGCTGAAATTATCCGTTCCTGCTATCAAGTACTCTTCGTAGCAGTACCTCCTTGGCATTCCTGGTACCTCATCATTGTAATTTTCTCCAAGTCATCACTATCGTTTTTTCTCTTCCCTAAACAAACAATGTAAATGATGCCAGTGCTAAGAAGAAGACAAGCGAATACGGCAAATAACAATTCTTGGATGAATCAAAAATCGCAGCTTTGCGAGAACATTTTTTAGACAATGTTGTTTGCAACTCTTCACAGCTTATTTTTATAGTGAGCCACCCCTATCAAATGGGTGACATTCTTCAGCTCTAGCATCTTTTGATATTTAAATCTGTCACAGAACAGGGAATTAATTTCAGAACAGCCAAGATTGGGATGTCTGTCGCTAGTTTGTCTAAAGTAGTTTTTATTATCTGGTTGGGGACGACTACATAATGCGGTATCATCCTCACCCGAATTTGAGTAAATTCCATATCTTCCACAAACCAAAGGATAATCACACTATCCGTGAAAATATATATATATATATATATATATCAGCAACAGATTTAACTTTTGTATTGGTAGACCAAATCAAAGTAGCATCAAAATCTTGTAACAGCAAATCTCCATCTCTGGTTAGCAACAAAGTCTAATTTCTTCCAACGAAGTTGTTTTGGTTGGAAGACGAGACTAATCTTGGAGCCGTTCTCATCTCATCCATAGCAAAAATACCAAAAGCATAAGTCGTACCAGTGTTACAATCAGGGTAAGAGAAGCACTGGAAACCACATTCAAATGACCCATTTCCAGTGACTTTTGCACCAAAACGGAGCGATATACCACTATGGCAGAAGGATCAGTGTCACCAATTGTCCATGAAATGTTAGTGTTATTAACCATTTGAACATATTGACCCTGGATGGAATGAAAAAAGAAAACAAAGTGGGAAAAGATACGTAGCTGATATCCATATAATATGCTCCAAATCACACCCATTGCTAATGTCAAATTAAGGCTACGAAGCTGAGATCAAACTGCGATGGATTGGTAAAGTGAAGCGTGCTTGGAAATTCTCAAGTAGTATCAAAAACCACACATCTAACAGTCAAGTCAAGGCAACAATATGCTTTATTCACCAATTCCCATTGAGAAATTGAACCACGCTCACTTCAATTTTTCTCTTCGTTATTTGTGGTTTTCATATGAGAAAAGGATATCTTATTTTATTTTAAAGCTAAATCAAAATTAATATTTATCATCTTAATTTACATATTAGTCATAAGGTATTTGGACATACTACAGAAAATCGAAGAAAAAGCATCACTTTTAATTGTGCTACGACTCCTAATAGTTGTACTCTTACTAGTATAATGATACTTTCTTCTAATCTTATACTCTCATAATTTATTAAATTGACTTACTTTATTATTGACTTGTTAATACTATGTAAAATTATTTAAGTATATTTGAAATCAATGGTTAAGGTTTAATTACCAGCATCGAATTAAATATTGATGCTCCAATGCCGTCCATGCATACTTCTCGAGTTGATATTGGAGTTCTTCGGGATCATCAAGGGGATGTTAAGTTTGCTTTTGCTTCCAATATTTTACAAAGTTTTTCTGCTGAAGTTGCAGAATTGCTTGCAAATAGAGAAGGTCTCTGCATGGCTCGAAGTCATCTCATGAATCAGAGTACATAACATTTGTCAAATACGTACTTTGTTTCCTGAATCCTAAGCATAAAATTAAATAAAAAAGAAGCCACCATTTATGTGCGAATTTTAGTTAAAATAGTATTTTTGGCAGACTTGATTAAATAATCTTATCTTTTAACTTCAAGCTCTATTGTGAGCCTAATCAGATTTGAGGATTGAGCATCTTCAGTATGGTAAACTAAACAATAAATTAGAAAGTGAAATTATCTATTCCTCTCAGGTGATAAATATAATAATCCTTTGATTTGATGTTGTGATAATTGGGTATCAGAATTTTAATTATTTTGAGTAATTCCGGACAAATCAACCCTCAATGTTTTTTGTGTGTCATTTAGTTTTCAAGAAAAGAATCGTCAAGTGGGCAAGTAAGAACTGTTGAGTATGCGTCCGGCAATGCCAGTACTAAGTTTATAAAATCGAAGACAACCTTGTTTCTCAGCATTTTTCGAAAATGCTAAAATTTGCACACAATCTAAACTCATCTTATTATGCTATTTACAGTAACAAAAGCTGGAGATTGATAAGCACAAAGCTCCATCCGAGCAAACCAAGAACTCTTCTTTGGATTTTCATGCAAACTCAACGTTTGGAATTTCATGGCCTAGATTTCATCAGATTTTTTCCTATATAAATGCTCGCCAAACTAGGAGAAAGAAGTATACCTAAAATTTCTTATATAGCTGCTAGGGAGTAACGATGTCAAAGGGAGAGGTGGTTGTTTTGGATTTCTGGGTTAGTCCATTCTGCATGAGAGTGAAAATAGCATTGGAGGAGAAAGGAGTGGAGTATGAAGGTAGAGAAGAGGATTTGTTTGGGGGAAAGAGTGAACTGTTGCTCAAATCAAACCCCATTTACCAGAAGGTGCCAGTGTTGTTACACAATGGAAAACCCTTGTGTGAGTCCACTACCATTGTTTCCTACATTGATGAGGTCTGGCCTTCACCACCTCTTCTCCCACCTTGCGCATATGGCCGAGCTCAAGCCCGTTTCTGGGCTGATTTTATCGACAAAAAGGTTGGTTTCTCTTTCTGTCATTTTAAACTCAACCGTAATGGCTTTGTCTATAATTTATGTCTTAAAGTCAGCATATATATAATTATATATGTTTTGGTCATGCAAACCAAAGGTGATCAGGATCGCTACCTTTACAATATGCAAAATCAAAAACCAATGACCAGTCGCTCACCTTTGGTTTGCATGTTATAAACTTCAAGACTTCCTCACTTTTAAGAATTTTCGGATGTGTATAATCTTTGGTTTGGTGGATAGGTATTTGATGCAGTTGGCAAAATTTGGAGAAGCAAAGGCAAGGTAGCAGAGAGTGCAAAGGAGGAGTTCTTAGAGATACTGAAGCAACTAGAGGGAGCCCTAGGGGAGAAGGATTACTTCGGTGGTGATTCTTTTGGATTTGTTGACGTTATAGCTATCCCTCTAACTAGCTGGTTCCATGCCGTTGAGAAATTTGGGGGGTTTAAGGTTGAGGATGAGTGCCCAAAATTCTCAGCTTGGATGAAAAAGTGCATGCAAAAAGAAAGTGTTGCTAAAATTATTCCAGATCCAGAAAAGGTTTATGAATTTGTCATCATGATGAGGAAAATGCAAGGGATTGAGTGAAGACTGAGTAAGTGGGCTACACCTAAGCTTTTCCCTTCTTGTTCTTTCCCCCATATAGTTTGTGGTGTCTTTTTTTTATTCCTAAAGAAAAAAAAAAATATTGTTGGAAGTGTAACAGTCAATCAATGTTTGTATATGAATAATTCAGAAGGGAAAAATCAAATAAAATTGTCATTGGTGTTTTCTAATCTTAATGTCCTGTAAATTGACACTTCATCTACCTTTTTAAAAAATATATATATATTTAAAACCTTCCCTACAATTTTTCATCAAGTTCAATTGCTAACTTTATGACTATTTGACCTTTTTCTTAGTCTTTTCTACAAGTGAACGGTTCTGGATATCCTACATTTTTTTTCAAAATCAAACAACTTTTTGACATTTTTCTTAGTCTTTTCTAAGGGTGAATGGTTTCGGGTACCCTGCATTTTTTGAAAGAATCAAAACCGATCAATTCCTATGATTCGAAACCAAAACTGACCGATTCCGATTTGGGTTCCTAAAAACCTAGAACTGGAACTTAAAACATAGGCTCTTGTTTCGGGTACTCAGATTAATTTTAATTACTCCCTACTTTTAAAAAAAAAAAAAAAAGACAAATACACCCCCAAAAAAGCATAATACATCCCCAATAGTTTACAAAAATTACAATTCAATCCTAGTGTCCGATTCCGGTTCCACCACTACAGGAATCAGAACCAAACCCGAGAATTCCCAGTTCCAATTTTCTAGAAGGGTCCGATTCCGATTCCTACCCAGAACCAACCAGTGGATACCCGCCGATTCTAGTTCTACCTTTTATCTATGCTCACCCCTAGTTCTTTTCTATACTCAAATAAAAAAATAAAAATTAATAGATAACGATAAAATAAAGAATTAAACCAAAATAAGTAATTAATCCACGAAGAGAAAGAAAAAGAAAGTGAGTAGCTAAGAAGAGCACCGTGAGCTTGAAGCAAAATTTTCTGTAAAAATTTATAAAACTCAGTCAAATATTTACATTGCCGAAGTAATCATAAAGTTACAACAACAATGAAAGACTCAAAATTTACTACCAAAAAAGAAGTGGGGAGGGAAAGTACCTAGACTGGATATGCTTTCCTGTTATAAAAGTATGTTAAGTGTCGAAAAAGAAAATGAGACACGCTATCATTAACTTCGCCTCCAAAATTTTGAACTAGCACATCCGGAAACCTATGCAGGCACCGAATCAGACTGCAGTTTCATCTGTACTTCATTAAAACAAGCTTGAATGTCCCTAAATTCTTCCATGTCTGAAAATTCCCCTGCCTGTGATTCCAATGAAATATCTTATAATCAAACTTTATGATTGAAGAAAAGATTAATAACAAAACAAAAGTCAATACATCAACTAAAATATTTCCACAGCTAACCAGTAAAGAGAGTACAATCATCAAACCAAGAAAAGATGGAAGCTTTACCTGTTTAAGTATGTTCTTGAGGTGCATCTCAGCTGTGAAGAGTTGACGACAGCTCCCTGTAGAAGAAGATATTTCCATATACAAATTACAAAGTTCCAAGGACGCATGTGCATACTGTTTAAACCGATCTCTGTCTTTCCACAAGTCAGATCCCTGAGAGAGAGTAACCACAGAAATCAATAATTATAATGCAGCTTATATCAGTCCCACCAATAGAATCTCCTCCAGAGCAATGGTACTTTGAGATGAGTTTTGTATTACATGAGGAAAAACATTAGAGGACAAATGTCAAACAGCAATAAGTACATAAATGTAGTCCCGCATCTGTCACCCCCTTATTGGAACGTGCTCAAGGCAAGACTTAACACTAAATTGAACATATAAAACAGATAAGACTAGCTCCATCATGAAAAAGGAGAAATTAGCAAGATCTGACTAACCTAAGCTAAATTGTTTCTGTGTCAGTAAGGATATGTGAACAACAAAAGTTATCAGGGGAAAAGCTAACCATGAGAGATGTTTGTGATGGTTTTCCAGTAAGAGAGGTGCGTTTGCAATTATTTTTCAAATGTATTGGACTTTTGTATCACTTCTTCAAAGCATAGGGACATCTATACATTTGCCTTAGTTTTATATTATTTAGAAATTTTATCAAAAATTTGTGTATTCAGATAAATTCATAATAAATTGTATTTTCTGTTCTAATAATAAATATTTTAAAGTAAGTGTCAAGTTCAAAACAAAACATAATGCTATGTCAAGTTCAAAACAAAGCATAATGCTATGTCATGTTCAAGGTATCGATCATGTTCTAACAACCCTAAGTTCCTCATACCAATGTCATAGATCACTCAGATATGCTCTAAAGTGAAAAGGACTATAATATAACTAAATCTACTTAACAAATCATTGTAAAAAAAGAAACACCACAATGTTTAAATTATTAGAGTAACATCATGAACGGATAATAATACAATTCTTTTATGCCCTATTTAAATGAAAATAGATTACATCCTTTTATTAATTCTCCACAATTAATGAAAACATGCACAGAAAGTGGACAATTTTGTCACACTTAATGATAAACAATTATATACAAGATTATGAGAGCAATGGAAATACCTGATATGATCTAACTTGCTTTAGAAGAGCTTCACAGCACATTGTGAGATCTCCTTTAATTTTGTGCCACCTTGCATATAAGCCCCACACATCTGCTCTGCTTTCACTTTTAACTATCTGTACAAAACAGAGAAACACTCAACATAGGCTACCAAAAGAGGGGCTAGTTTTACTTGCTACGTGCGCCTCGAGTCAATAATATTCATGCATTATGGGACCCTTTTTAGAAGGTAAAAGAGTCTCATGATTATTTTAACATTTAGCACAAATTTTTCAACACTGCCAACTGCTTGCATTTGCTAGAAGTAGTATCTCAAACACAGTATGTCGTAGGGAGCAAAGATGGATCATATGCCCAAACACCAAACTGTACCTAGTAAGACGTATTCATGATTATAATATATATGTGCATAAGAAAAACTAAGGGTCCGTTTGGCACACTTTTTTCCCCATCTTATTCCACTATCTTATCCTAAAAACCCAAAAATGCATTTGTTTTAATATTATTCAAAATTCAATCGTATCCTGCTTAACTCAAAACAATAAGGATTACCTTTCTTAATAAAAATTTTAAAATTAACAAAAAAACCTCCACCCACCCAAGCCACTATCACCTACCAGCAACAGCCGCTGCTACCGTAACGACGCAAACCGGCTAGATCTAACAGGTAATGCACCGATCTATCCGTTTTCGGTAAGATCCATGGCCAGATCCACCATGGATCTACCGAAAACGGCCAGATATACGACCAAAGATCTGGCCGTTAAAGATAGCCATATCTTGGCCCTTTTTGACAACCAGATATCTTGGCTGTCGTTTGGCCATCAATGGCCAGATTTGTGAACGTAGATCTGGCCGTTTCCGGTCGGATCCACCATGAATCTAGCAAGAAAATGCTAGATCGACGCACGACCAACCAAATCCGGTTGGTCATGCGCCATTCCGACAGATTCCGACCACCTTCCGGCGGTGGTGGCCGGTTGCCAGCAATATGTAGGTGGGTGGGGGTGTTATTGTCAATTTATAAACTTTTATTGTGAGGGGTGTTTAATTAAATTAACAAACCTAGAGCGTTATATATAATCTAAATATTTTCAGAAAATACTATTTAGTAATGTACCAAAAACTTCTCAAAATCCTATCATATTTTCCAAAAATGTTAAATAGCACAAAATGCTATTCTAAATAACTAGCCACGAAACCTAATATAAGACAATCTCACCAAATCATCATGTTGACGTAGTGAGACCGTCCAATAAAAATTGACCACATAAATAGTAATTTTAAAGCCACCAGGTGGTTATTAGTAAATCATGGTGGTCTTTATTGCTAAAATGAAAACCACCACGTATGTGGTTAACTAATCAGACTGTTTCACCATGTCAACATTGTGATGTGGTGAAACTATCCTATATAAGTATTTCTCATATGTGCATTTATATTAGATACGTGTATGTGTATGTGTATGTATTCTGTTTGTGACAGGTTGCAAGGGAGAGTAAGATTTCCTTTTGGTCGAGAGAAAAGACACAAAATATATCACGGAAATATTTACATACCTGCTGTAGAATTTTCCCGAGGAACTCCATCAGGTGTTCAGCTTCCCGTGATCTTCCCTGGGTTGGTTCTTCAAATGATGATTCATTGACAAATTTTACAGTTGAATCTGAAGGACAAGCTTGATTGTTGCAATTATTATTATCGGCAGCTGCAGGAGACTTTAAATGTTTAATTGACGCTCTATCCTCCAAATCTAGCATAATTCTCTCTAATAATTCAGCATCAATTCTTTTATTACTGGTCATATTCAGCACCATCTGTACAGCTTCTAGTGCCTGCACAAATAAATTGAATAAACAATAAAGCATAAAACATTGATTACTGAAGAAAAAGATTATTGTGAAGTATACTGATGTCATATTCACTAATATATCATATGATCTCGTATATTAATAGTATCCAAAAACATAGGGTGATAATGAAATATAAAAATTTCTCAATGTATCCACAATAAATTGCCCTTTCAAAAAATGACATGTCCACTCTATCATGAGACAAAGCCTCTGCAGTTCTCATTAGAATTTTCACAATAAGCAAGCCAAGCCATCAAAGGGGGACTAAGGAAAAGACCTAATCCTGGTCAAAAGTGCTAGGCTGATTTGCAGTGGTAAGCATTTGAACATTAACTGCATATCCAAGATTACCTGACCAAAATTGCCCACATCACAAGCAACATGGCTGTAGTTCTCCCATAACTGCCAGCTGTTCCGTCTGTTAACAAATCAAGTTTTTGGTTATTACACATCCCACTGTTTGCCACAACAGAGACCAATGATGTCTCAGCGTCAGTGTTTTGTGTTTGCAAGAGTCTGGGTGCATTGTGCGTGACAAAAAAGTAAAATTGCATTAATCAAAGGAAAAAGACAGAACTTGAACTTTAGGGCCTCCTTAAATGCAATGAAAGCTTCTTTGCTCTTCTTCTTAAGCATATGCCTGCAAGATATAAAAGACAATTTATATTTTTACTGTAATAACAATTATTTTTTATAAAATGTTTCATCAAACTAGAGGAAAAAAAAATTGTCTTAGTATGGGTGGCAATACTAAACATGTAAATATGCTGCACATTTAACTTCTTAGTGGGAACAGCATGATGACTAACACACAAGTTGAGTTGAAAATTTTACACAACGTGATATACCATAAATGAAAAGAAAAGATAAATATAACCCAATTAACAAATACTAAAAAGTAAAAGTTTCACCACTGCAGGTAGAAGATGGAAATTTATATGCATGGCATTGTGATATATGGAGTAAAACTATGGTACAGCATGAAGAAAAAGAAGAGCATACAAGCAAGCAATATTATTCCAAGCTTCGCCATTATCAGGATCAAGTTGAACAGCCCTAGTAAACCCATCCAAAGCCTTTTCAATATCCCGAGCCTGTATTGATCATCATAAATAAGTTCCAAGAACATGGGAAATAGTGCAAAAATGAAAACAGGGCAAATATACTTGTACAAGAATATGGTAAACAGCAAATCAACGCATTGCAGATAACATATTTTACCTTTAATGCAGCAGCCCCAAGAGCAAACCAACCATCTGGATACAACGAATTCAACGCCATAGCAGACTCCCTATGATAAAAACAAGGATAATTTGAGGCTCAGCCATATCAATTATCGAAACCACATTAGAATATTAGATATATTTCATAAAAGAAACTTGAGTGTAAAAGCGTCAAAGCAAACATACCAAAGGTTTTTAGATTTCTCATAGTCCCCTCTATTGTAAGCACTACGAGCAAGAGACCGCTGATGCAAGTGTAGATACATTAATGACAAAAGATCGCTACAAAATCATTATATAACCCGTTTAATCCAAGCAATGAACCTTACCAGAGCTCGAGCTGACTTATTGTTTGAAACTTCCAGAGCTTTTTCATAGCAGGCATCATTATTTGTAACATCACCTAATGAACACCTAGAATACGTGTGTGCAGAGTCAGCAAGCCGTGATAAAACTACAATGAGAGAAATAATTAAGAAATGGAAAGCCAACTGAAAAGGCTAAATAACATACCACAATCTTGGGTCATTGGGCCTTTCAGACAGCCGTGCCTTAATGAGTTCAACAGCTGCTGCTTTCTTTCCCAATAGGCTGTTTTGATATCATATACCAAAGAAACTCTAAATGGCAACAGTAGACAAAAAGGAAAGGCAGAAATGATAACACATAGAAGAACTTGACTGAGTTATGGCTGTCGAGGACATCATACCAGTTGCAGTATATCAGATTATCCCATAACTCTAAATCCTCAAAAATTTTAATAGCCTCTCCAATCAAACCACAGCTTACTAAAAGTTCAGCATATTCCCTAAAATTAAAGAAACATTGAAAATGAATAATTTAAAAGAAGAATAACAAAGCAATTAAAATATGCCAAAACAATGTAATACTAATATAAGATAGGTAGCTGGCATAATGAAAAGATATTAAATATCAGTGGTCATTCAGAGATAGAGAAGAAATAGTTTTACTTTCGCAGTGCAGGAGCAGTAGGAATATATGCCACATAACAAAAGGGAACTCTTTGTGCCACTCCAGGAGTAGACTTATAAACACCCTCAACCTAAAACAAAGTAAAATATATTTGTGAGACTGACAGAAAGGCAAGCACTTTAAGAATTTAATAAAGATTCTGAATAAAATGGGACCAAAAAAAAAAAAGATTGCATTTGAACTTCATCAAACATAGTGTCACCTTATGAAGCAAAAAGCCAGAGCAGCAAGTTTTGCTCAATCATTTAGAGACTTAAATCTGACAAAATAATTGCATATCTAACAATGGAAGAAAACTTTATATCAAATAGCAGCCAAACCAAGTGAAAATTTTTGGGCCCAACAACGTACTAACAGTACAAAGACTGGAATCTTTCCCATTTATTAATAAGGCTTCAGTCAATTAATTCTAGTAAAATCGAGATTCTCAGGTCCAAGCAAACATAAACACTCTCATTACCAAGCCACGTTGTTCACCTAAAATTTCAATTTATTTGCAACATATGTTGAAAGAGATTCCTCGGTAACATCAACTGCATTAAAAAACAAAAGGCTACTCCTTTGAGGAGCTTCAATTTAGCAAGACTTGCTACCATTGTCTGGTCAACATAGAACACTTACACAGAGACAGAAAACCAAAAGTAGCTGAAGTCAAGCAAAATCCAGGAAATCTCATAACAGAAAATAGGGGAATGACATCTATGACCAATTCCCACAAGTCTAAAATATTTTGATGATCTCACGCATTTATGACGCATGGAAACATTACCTAAGAACAAAATACAAAACTCAAGTTGTACAGTTGCACAATCAAAAACATCTGAAGATTGCTCTCAACAACCAAAAATAAGTATAAAGATTAAAATCACAATAACATAATCTATAAATATACAATAAACCATAGGGTCAAAGATAACATAAATAAATAAATAAATAACTACACAAAAGCATCACAGAGCTCAAATTAGATTGGATACAAACGATGATTGTCTTACATCAAGTTTGATTTCTTTCTTGAAAAGCTGGTTATGAAAGATTTAAGCCCAAGTCAGACTGGATGCAATCGATAATCCTCTTACAACAAGTTTGATAGCTATCTTGAGAAGCTTGTCATAATAGGTTTAAAGAAAACTTCCTTCACAAGGCATCACCCACTCATACATTAAAAAAAATAAATAAATAATCATCTTTCTTTCTAGACAGCCTATACAAAACTTTTATTACTTCTTATATAGTTTTTGTCCCCTTCTCAGGGGTGACCTGACTCTTCAGGGGATACCTGATCCACAAGTGTATTTCTCTTTTTGTCTCATTAATACAATCCTTTAGTGTTTCCATAAATAAAAATGAAATTGAGCAGGAAAAGTACCAACTTTAAGCTCCACAAGCACTTGAGATGAGAAATATGATGACTCGAGATAGAACAATTCACATCAACAAACAGAAGGCAAAATCCTAACTAATTAAATTTACAAAGAACAGACTAGCAATAGATTTCTTACCAATTTATCCATCATCTCTAAAGCACGCCCCTTCGTACGACTTCGAGTTGACTCCCATCGAACTCGTAAGAGATCACAGAAACAATGTAGCTGATAGAGGGTAAAATCATGCACAACTCAAAAGTCATAGAATTACAAGACTGAAGTTAAAGACTCTTTGATATATCAAAAAAGCAAACGCATCACAAGAGATAACAAAAAAAAAGAAATTAAAATAATAGGACAGCGAGATGGTACAAATAGCAAATCTATAGCAGTGGCAGTGAAGTAATCTTTCACTGCTTGAACCCTAAAATCTCATATTATCTCATTTATAGAGTTTACATAAGTGAAACATAGCATTTATCTTTGTCACTTTATCTATACACAAAAAGTCCCATGCTTAAGGTTAAATCTACTTACAATAAAGTACGATGACTTCTGTGAACCAATTGCCTCTATGTATGGAGCCATATCCCATCCTGAAACAAAAATTAGCCGTAAGTCAGCAAAATGACCAATTGAAAATTTTATGCTTCTATCCGAAGACCATATCAGCAACAAATGGAATTCCTAGATAAATCTTCACAAAAAATTAAGCAGTCTCTTTTTCATTGTTTCCATGTAATATTTCATCCATACTAGATCTAAAAATTAGGAAGAGGAAACCTTATAAATCAAGAAGGTTTATTTTTCTTACATTAGTATAATATTTTACGAGAAAATAAGTAACCAAACATATAACAGACGACACAAGCAAAAGAATTAATGAGAGTGTCAACATATCATCTACAGCACACAAACAAGAGAATTACTGATAATGTCATTGTATCATCTACAATGCAATCTATTATCATCAATTAACAAAACAACAAGCATACTATTTGAAGTCAATTTCAATATGCATTCTCACATAGGTTGCAGCAATCAAGGTGCAAACTAAGAACAAAATATTTTTAAAATTCATAACATCAAAAATTTCGGCTTAAAAATACAACCAAGCATTCTTACTTTGCATTTCATCATGTCGAGAGCTCTTCTCTATGAGAAGGCATTGTGACAGGACCACTGCCTGTTGGATTGGCTTCAAATCAATAGTTGAAGCCCCATTGTAAACACACGGCGCTCCAGTTTTGGATTCATTACCATTCACCAATAACTTTGGGGTCATAAGAATATCAGAAGTATCAGTGACACTAGAATCGTGTGCTTGGACGCCTCGGTCTGCTGAAGGGCAGGTATAAGTATTGTTTGATGTGCTCGTATTTGCAACAAGTACCATTTGTGCCTTTGGTTCTACCTATATTCAAGAACAATCCCAAAGCTAAGAAGAAAGATCCCTGCAATTTCACGAGTAATACACCTTCATCATTACCTGATGTATTGTTCGACAACCAAGAGCCCCAGTAACAGAGAGCTGAAGACCAGCTGCAACTTCAGCAGATTCAAAATGTCGCCTGATACCATAAAAGCACTTCAGGAAACAGCTATAACCTCAAAGATTGAAATTTAAACAAACCATCTAATGTCAATGGTAATAATTGATTCCAAAACACTTTACCAAAAGCCACAAGTGCAGCAAACACAAAATAATGCCTGATAATTGAAAACATAAATATAAGGAAAGAAAAAGAATTCACGAAGTTTAAACATAAAAATTCAATCTAAATCTAGCCATTACACAAGCAGTCAAGTGAAAAAAAATTATGTGACCCCAAATAAACCCGTTGAATGTAAAATTTCCCCAAGAGAATTCACCTGCAAGAATCGACCCTTCCATAAATGTGTTCTAAGACTCCTGCTTCTAAATGGATCATAGATACTATATGCGACAGCTCTACATCTTGCAGCTGGGTACCCCAATAACTCGTTACATCTTCCAAAGTGCCAAAATGACTTAAAGTTTCACCCATAAAAACTTTCAATAGATCAAACAAAGAAGATGACCGCTCGTCCAAAATCCTCTGGTGCATAAGTAGGACCCTGGTACACCACCATGAAATGCTTCTAATGCCATACACAGACGACAAGCTTGCTTCAAATAGAAGATCTTTTGTCTTCAGGAGCAACAATTTAGCAAAAACTATATACTACAAAAAGAAAATAATACAAAAAGAAAAATGTAAAACAATTAAGGGAAACAATAAAGAGCAACTAAAATTATGAGCAACACCTACTACCATCATCCAATCAATAGAGTTCATTATCAAACTTTAAAACATAAGCAAAAGTTTTGGGAGATTTTAACTGGGTACCTGAAGATAAGAGAACTTTCCAATCAAGTCAGAGCCAGCGGACATAAGCTGATTACGCGCCCAATTCTCCCACTCCACCAATTCACTGCCTTCCGAATCCAAAACTTTAAATGGCAAACAACGCTCGGACAACTTCTCAACAAAAGGCCTATTCAATTCATAATAGTAATCACTAAACAGTTACATTAATCACCATTACTAATTATCATCCCATCCATGACCTCAAACAACTCACCCGGTCAAGTTGCACTGAGTGAACCAAAAAAGAGCAGCAATTGCCAAACACATAACCAGAACCACTCTACAAGCCTTGTCCACGTCATTTTCCGAAGCGCCCACAATAAAAGCCTCGACACGGCGGAGCAACTCGGAGTAAACCTGGTCGGCACAGTCGGCAGATTCGACGACGTCAAACTCTTGCGATCCCAGAACGAGACGAGCCGCGTCCGATAAGAGGGCCTGGAGATAGTTTCCGGACTCGATGGAATTAAGGAGGTCGTTGATATGTGCGTGGAAATGAGGAGATGATAGACTCTGGATGTTCGACGGCTGTGATTGGATAGGAGCATCGGACAATGGAGGAGCGAGGGTGCAACGGAGCAGCCGGAGCTCATAGCCGCGGATGATTTCCAGTTCCGGTTGGGCCATGAAGATACTGGAAAGAGAGGTTTTGGGTTTAGCGATTTTCTCTCCCCTTTTTATTTTCACAAAAACATAACAGGCAGTTTCTAAATGGGCACAAAAGCCACTAACGTCAACTTTTTTCCGTTAAGCTAAACAGTTCACGGATAGTATAGTAATTAAACAACAGGCAGTTTCTTACCAAATTAACGGCGTCGAGAGTCGTTTTTTATGGCGAATGTAGGTGGCGCCGTGGCGGGCAGGGATTTAGGGTTTCTCTTAATTATTATTTTTTATTTCAATATTTAAAAATTGCCATTTTTTTCAAATAATTTAAAATGTTAACATGGCGCTACATTTTTAATTATGAAATGAATTAAAAGTTAAATGTCTTACTTCTTATTTTTGTAGAACAATAGGCTAAGGGCATCTCCAACCTAGCACTATTTTGATGTAAAACACCCTGAATTTTCCCTCCAACCCAACGCCATTTTTCTACACCAATTTGGTGTCCAGCTATAATGCGACACCAAATTTGGTGTAGCACTGTTTATACACACCAAATTTAGCATGACACGATTCAAACAGTAAAAAAAAATTTATTTTTTATTTATATTTAAGTTAATTTAATTATTATTTATAATAATTATTATATNACGATGGAGGAGCGAGGGTGCAACGGAGCAGCCGGAGCTCATAGCCGCGGATGATTTCCAGTTCCGGTTGGGCCATGAAGATAAACAGAGGTTTAACTTTTGGGTTTAGCGCATTTGTTTCTTTTTTTATCTTCACAAAAACATAACAGAGTTCCTAAATGGGCACAAAAGCCACTAACGTCAACTTTTTTCCGTTAAGCTAAACAGTTCAGGGATAGTATAGTAATTAAACAACAGACAGTTTCTTACCAAATTAACGGCGTCGAGAGTCGTTTTTTATGGCGAATGTAGGTGGCGCCGTGGCGGGCAGGGATTTAGGGTTTCTCTTAATTATTATTTTTTATTTCAATATTTAAAAATTGCCATTTTTTTCAAATAATTTAAAATGTTAACATGGCGCTACATTTTTAATTATGAAATGAATTAAAAGTTAAATGTCTTACTTCTTATTTTTGTAGAACAATAGGCTAAGGGCATCTCCAACCTAGCACTATTTTGATGTAAAACACCCTGAATTTTCCCTCCAACCCAACGCCATTTTTCTACACCAATTTGGTGTCCAGCTATAATGCGACACCAAATTTGGTGTAGCACTGTTTATACACACCAAATTTAGCATGACACGATTCAAACAGTAAAAAAAAATTTATTTTTTATTTATATTTAAGTTAATTTAATTATTATTTATAATAATTATTATATAATTCAAAAAATGATTAAAAATTAAAAACAAAACTTTAATTAATACAAATATTAAACTATAATAACTCAAAATAAAATTTAACACTAATTTAAAAACATTAAAATTAAAAGAAAATACAATATAAACTAAAATAACAATTTAGTATTCCTGTAATACCCCGTATTTTTTTAATGGAGTTTTATTAAATTTTATTTTGCGATTCTAGGGTAAAGTGTAATAATTTGAAAGTTTTGAGGAGTACAATGTAATAGTCGAAATAAGTGAGGACTAAATAAATTTTTCAGATATTTTGATGAACAGTGACCGTTCAATGAAATGAAAAAGGGGGAAGAAGAAGAAAAAAAAGAAAAGAGAGGAAAAGAGAGAAGGTAAAGAGAAAAAAAAGGGAGAAAGAAGAAGAAGAAGAGAAGGAAAGGGAGAGAAAGATGAAACTAAGAATAGAGAGAGAGAGGAGATAAGAGACCAACGGAGGTGGCTGGAAAGGTGGCCGCCGGCGAGCAAAACTCCGGTGATCGGAGAGTGGAGGAAGATCAAGCATATGGGAGGTGAGTAAAGGTTAAAATTTCTTTTTCTTGATGAGTTTTAGTTCATTAGCTTGTGTTGGTTATTATTGAGTGTAATGACATGAGATTGCACTATAATAGGGAGATTGATTTTAATAATTTGGTGTGGGTAGAACATAGAGGTTGTTTATAAACAAAAATGGGTTAAAGATATGATTTTTTATGTAAGGGTTTACTGTATAGAAATCTGACCATCTAGAACTCCGAAAATTGTTTGTATGTCTTGGGTTTTTTGTTTGAAGCTGAATTTTGGATATGTTGTTGTAGACTTCTTGAGGAGTGTTTATAAATTTATTTTACTTAAAAACTCGAAGGATGGAATTTTATATGGATTTTTTAAGTTGCCTTATGAATTCTGGAATTTTCATTTTCTGCAGAACACGTATTTTTGGAAAATGATTTGATGCAACTACTCTCATCCAAATTGAGTGATTTTAAATTCTGGTGAATCCTATATGTGTCTAGTTTAATTCTGGAGAGTTTCATGAGGTTTGGATTAAGGGCTGGATTGTTATGAATTTTTCAATTCAGTAACCTCAATTCTGGAAACAGGGGACAGATTTGAATGAGTTGAAAAAAAATTGTGTTTTAAATAGTTATTGATTCCGAAATGACTCAAGGAAATTATGGGAACAACTTATGTGTCTCTAGAACGCCCTGTTAAAATTATGGCTTAAAATGATAAATGGAATTTTTAAGAAAAATCTGAGAGCGACCGATGTTGGATTATGAGACAGTTTTGTTAAAGAAGAAGTTATGTTAATCTTTTGGTGTGTGAAGTGTCCAATGATTTTAATATTGAGGTGTTACCTTATGGGGACTTATGTATGGAGGATTTGTTGGATTTTGTATATAGGGAGGCAAGCAGGGGCATTATTAGAAGATTTCAATCATTTTTCGGCTTAAAGGTCGAGCTTCAAATTGTGAGTGGTGTTAATAAAAACTTTCCTTAAAAATTTCAGATCTATGCTTGCATGTTAATTTCTAGTATTCCATTTTTGTATTTTGATGAGGTTTGAGCTAAATGTGAAGCTTGCTTGTTTATTTTTTCTTTGCATGTTTTCGGACAGATTCTAGAGTGGTCGTTTTGAGTTTTAAAATGGAATGAACTTTGCTTGCTAATTAAACTTGCATGCATTTGGCTGTTTCAATAAATTGTGATGGTGGCTGGATATTTTGGGTTGCATGCACTCGGCTGGACTGCATTTTGAGAGGTGCTTGAGTTATGTATTTGGACTAAAAGTTGGTTGGTTAAATACACTTGCATGCTTCCAGTTGAACTGTCTTTGAGAAAATTGATTTCCGTGATGTTTTAAAATGCTGAGAGTTAAGGTATTTTGGCTGTTAAAATGTTAAAGAAAAGACTGAGATTTGTGAGGTTAGTAATAATTTTCTCGGTAAAAAGGGAAAATGGGGTGTTTTTCATCAGTTTTGAAAGTATATTTTAAAAACTTGCATTTTACCCCCTATTTTCCATGAAATCTCATATGTTGGCATGTCTTATCCTTATAAGGAATATTCATATATTATTATTATTATTGCTTTTGGGTTTAATTATAATTATAATGTGTTACATGAGTTTTGACTTTTAAAAGTGATATTTGTTTATGATTTATAAGCACATAAGTAATATACTCTTGACTTACATGTTAATTAAGATTATGCATGAGATTATTGTGATGCTAAAACCACCCTACGAAATACCCATTCCCTAGAGATATAGATTTTTGGCTCTGCTTGAGCGATGCAGGATTCCGCCGGGTATGACAGTTTTAGATTTTGGCTTTGCACATGCGTATGACAGATTTTATTGGGTCTGCCTGGGCATTGAGTGGTTCACCAGGTATGACATATTTTATTGGCTCTGCTTGGGTGTTGAGTGATCCGCCAGGTATGACAATTTCAGTGGCTCTGCCCGCGCGATGATAGATCTTGCTGGGTATGACAGGTATGTCCCTCGCTCTGCCTGCGTGTGGGACGCCCACCAGGTATGACAGATTTTCCCCAATGTACTAGTTGGGTGAGAGTTTTCACATGTGATTGAGAGATGATTTGGATATGTACATATATGTATATCATCTATTTGAAAATGGGAACTTATAAATGTAAATGTTATCCATATATGAACTGTTTCTTAGAAATGATGTTTTTAGAGAAACATGAGTATTTATTCGTTTATCATAATAGTGTTCAGAAAGAAGTCTTACCATGAGAGATTTCAACATCTGTTATGAAAGATGACTTATATTATAAAATTTGTATACATAAATGAAATTTTATAAGCATGAGTGTTTTTATTGTATATTGAAATGTTTTATTACATACTAACTCATTCCCCACTCACTAAGCATTTCTAGCTCACCCCTCGTTTTCAAATGTTTTTCTTTCCCCTCACCAGGTCTAGAAGCTGATTGTGCAGAGGAGTGAATTTCACGCAAGGTTGGGCCACACGACTTCATTTCACCATAGATTCTATAGTTGTATTTTGTTTTCAACTGTAAAGTTTATGTTTCCTTCATCACGTATTTATTTCTTGTTTTGGATTATTAAAGGCATGGAAAAAAAAAAAAAAATCTGATACCATACATTTCATTTTTTGAAAATTTTAATTACATTGTTTATATGTAAATGACGTTACATTTTTATGATGTTTCAATTATAAATGAGTTTTATAGTTTTCTCAAATGGCACGTCTCGACTACCCGAGTCTCATAGGTGCGTCCGGAACATATAGGATAAGGAGGGTCGGGACGGGTCGTGTCAATTCCGGTATATTAGTTCCGGATCTTCTAAGATCATCAAAATATTGGAAAGAACTAGAGTTATTTTGAGATCCTTGATCTTGTTGTTGACCTTTTTTTTTTAGTATCATTTTATATTCGATGTAATTTTTTTCTATATTAAATATAATGTTTATTTGATTAAATAAATGTTTAATTTTATTAAATTAGTAAAATTTTCAAAGTAATTATTATTTAATAAAAATATCATTCTTAATATTTAATTAATATATATATAAATAATGAGTAAAATAAATTAATTGTTGATTATTACAATAAAAGAAAAAAAATATAATATTTTAAAGAATATTTTTTTTTGGTGTAATATTCGATGAGTGAGTTTGAGATACAATAGTCTTTTACACAAAAAATAACACCAATTTGGTGTGAAACTTGCACCAATTTAGTGTAATGGGTTAGAGATGGTCTAAGGAATATATTAGGGATGGAGTGGTATTAGGAGTTATAGATATGATAGT